CAGTACCTGGAGAGGTTTCTTTGCAGGTGAGTTTGCCATGCCTGACTTGGAACTGTCAGCTGCCATTATCACTCATTCACCCCCTCATTCTTCTTCAACAAGCTGTTATAAAAAATGTATCCTGTGTACCGGATTCTCTTTTGGGCATATAAAGAGGCAGAGTGGAGGTTCACAGTGGTCGTTAATTGCAGCTGGAAATGCCCTCCGCCGACCTCCCTGTGGGCTTAGTGAACCCCGCAGGGGACAAGGCTGACGCTCGAAACCCCGCTTTTCGAGGAGCAGAAGGCCTCCTGTGTTTGGAAGCCCTGCTGCTTTCTCTGTCTCCATGCTCCATCCCTAAATAACTATTCCTAACCTGGAAGTGCTGCTCCAGGGAAGCACCTGCCAGTTTCCTCTTGACTAGACATGAGCCGATTAACCTTACTTCCTGGCACCTGAGAAATCTTAGGAAGGGAAGCATTTAAATCAAACAGCATCTTCAACATTCAGGAGCTTTCTAAATCATACAGAGGAGACTTGGAAATCAGTCGTCTTTTTCCAAGAAAGAAAAACACAAAAGGCCGCAAAAATAGCCCTCCAAGACTAATTCCTGGTAATGTCTTTGTAGACCCTATCTTATGGGGCTTCGCTGGGGGCTCAGACAGTAAAGAATCTGCCTATAAGAGACCTGGGTTCGATCCCTGGGTTGGGAAGATCCCCTGAAGAATTCCATGGACAGAGGAGCCTGGTGGGACTCCATGGGATCACAAAGAGTCGGACGAAAAGAGTGACTTTCATTCACTCACTCATCTTCCTAATTTGTCATTTTGCTTTGATATGACAAGTTAATTTTTAGTTTTTACCTATTATGTATCAAAAGGAAGTAAAGAATTTGCTAGAAAATTTGGGATCTACTCTTATCTACAGGTGTTCCCTGAACTTGCACTAAAATGAAGAGAGCTGTGTACAGAAAGCTCAAGAGTAATAAAGAGTTGGTTGAACCCATTCATTTCTATTTTTTGCCCCTCAATAAGCATTTCCATGGTGCCTGCCCTTCGCTAGAGAGTTCATGAGTGTCAGCTGTAAAGGAGGCTGGACCTGTGGTCCACTTCCCTGACTGGAGAGAGGAGAGGTGCTTCTGTGAATAAGCAGAAGAGAATGTGGTCCCAACAGCACAGGCTTCTCCTGCCTGCCAGGCCTGGCTCAAGAGCAAAGGCTGCCAAGCTTGTGACAGCAGGTTAGACCCTGGGAGGATCCAAGGAGTTTAGCTCATCTGGGCGGGCATCAAGCCAGAAGCAGGGGCAGGAAGTGACCCCACCTGTCAGGGAGGAAGGGCAGGTAACAAAGACACCAAAGAGGCTGTGGACCAGGACGCGAGGTCAGGCTCACAGTCAGCCCTTCATACCCACGGCTCTGCATCTGCAGAATCAGCCAACATGGATCAAAAATACCTGGGGAGAAAATTCCAGAAGGCTAAAAAAAAAAAAAAAAACCCAAGACTTGAACTTGCTGGGCAGCAGGCAACTGTTTACATAGCATTTACATTGTATTTACAACTAGTTACATTGTACGAGGTATTATAAGTAATCTAGAGATGATTTAAAGGATGCAAGAGGATGTGTGTATGTTACATACAAATTCTATGCTATTTTTTATAAGGGACTTGAATATTTATGGATTTTAGTTGGGAGGTGGCAGGGGGAGGGGTTCCTGGAACCAGTTTCTTGGGTACCAAGGGAATGTGTATCTGAGAATTCACTAAATGTCAGGCACTGTGCTGGGTGCTTCTCAAAAATATTCTTTCTCTTCCAGCCTTCTTTTTTTTAATATTAGAATCCATTTATTAGTTTTTTAAAAATTCAAATTACAGAGCACAAAAGACAATTTTGTGTCTATTTTTACAATATGTTTGAGGTTTTTCTCAGTTTGAGATGTTATGAAAAAGCAGGTCTCCACACAGTGAGAACAGAAACTCTCTCTTGACATAGTTCATTAAACAAAACTGGAACACAGGCCAGTTAATTCATTTTATTCTGTGAAGATAGAATGAAATTAACTCATTTTATTCTGTGAAGATAGAATGAAATTAACTCATTTTATTCCGTGAAGATAGAATGAAATTAACTCATTTTATTCTGTGAAGATAGAATGAAATTAACTCGTTTTATTCTGTGAAGATAGAATGAAAGGTTATAAGAGCTTTCACAGCTGGAACAACCAAGAGAACTATCGGTGATTCATCGTATCCAAAGAGAGGACAATTTTCAGCACAGATTAGTTCCTCAGATTTGTTCATTCTGAAGGCCTCGTGGCAATTTATAGGGCAGACTGCATTTCCCTCTGTATATAAATCATGAACCCAGGGAAGTGTATGTAGAGAGTAATATCCTCTTTGGGCTAGTAGGTGGTCAGGGAGCAGGGTGGGGTAAATACCAAAGTCATCTCTTAACATCCAAAGCCTGGCAATAAACAAGTGTTTGTAATATCAGTAACACATACATTAAACATTAATCTGAATTTTTCTAGATTTCTATGCATATTGGCATATTACTCAAATACTGATGATGTTAATGGGAAAAGAATTCCAGTTTTATGAGTAATAAATAATACCTAAGATTTCTCCAGATAAACTACTGAGGCTCTCTTGAGAACAGAAGCAATTTGAGAAAAGCAAATTTTTTTTTAATCGGAGCATAATTGCTTTACAATGTTGTGATAGTTTCTGCTATACGGCAAAGTGAGTCAGTTACATGTACACACATATCCACTCTTAGATTCCTTCCCATCGAGGCCACCACAGATCCTTGAGTAGAGTTTCCTCTGCTGCCCAGGAGGTTCGCATCAGTTATCTGTTTCACATATAGTAGTGTGTGGTCAATCCCAGTCTCCCAGTTCATCCCTTCCCACTTACTTTCCATGCATTTGTTCACTACATCGGTCCCTCTGTGTCTGCTCTGCAAATAAGTTCATCTGTTCCATTTTCTAGAGTCCACTATATTACACAGTGTTTGTTTTTCTCTTTCTGACTTGCTTCATCCTGTATGACCATCTCTAGGTCCATTCACGTCTCGACAGACGGTGTTTCATTCCTTTTATGGGCTGAGTAATATTCCACAGTATAAATGTACCACATCTTCTTTTTCCATTCCTCTGTTGATGGACATTTAGGCTCCTTCCATGTCCCAGCTATTATAAATAGTGATGCAGTGAACTTTGAGATTCATACATCCTTTCAGATCATAATTTTCTCTGGATTTATGCCCATAACTTAGATTGCTGGGCTATGTGGTACCTCTATTTTTAGTTTTTTAAGAAACCTCCATACTGTTCTGCATAGTAGCTGCACCAATTTACATTCTCACCAATAGTGTCAGAGGGTTTCCTTTGCTCCACACCCTCTCCAACATTTATTGTTTATAGATTTTTTGATAGTGGCCATTCCAACGGTGTGAAGTGATACCTCATTGTAGTTTTAAATTTTATTTTTCTAATAATTAGTAATGTTGAGCATCTTTTCATGTGCCTCATGCCACCTGTAGTCTTCTTTAGAGAAATGTCTATTTAGATCTCCACCCGCCCCCCTGTTTTTTATGGGGTTGCTTGTTTTTTTGATATTGAGCTGCATCAGCTGCTTATATATTTTGGAGATTAAACCTTTGTCAGTTGCTTCACTTGCAAATATTTTCTCCCATTCTAAGGACTGTCTTTTGGTTTTGCTTATGATTTCCTTTGCTGTGCCAATGCTTTTGTTTAATTAAATCCCATTTGTGTATTTTTGTTTGTATCTTCATTAGGAGGTAGATCAAAAAGATCTTGCTATGCTTTATGTCAAACAGTGTTCTGCCTGTGTTTTCCTCTAAGGGTTTTATAGTGGCGAGCCTTACATTTAGTTCTTTAACCCATTTTGAGTTCATTTTTGTGTATAGTATTAGGAGTGTTCTAATTTCATTCTTTTACCTGTAGCTGTCCAGTTTTCCTAGCATCACTTATTGAAAATGCTGTCTTTTCTTCATTGTATAGTCTTTCCTCCTTTATCGTAGATTTGGTGACCGTAGGTACGTGGGTTTATCTCTGAGCTTTCTGTCCTATACCATTGAGCTATATTTCTGTTTTTATGCCAGTACCATAGTGTCTTGATGACTGTAGCTTTCTAGTATAGTCTGAAGTCAGGGAGCCTGATTCCTCCAACTCCATTTTTCTTTCTCAAGATTCCTTTGGTTATTCGGAGTCTTTTGTGTTTTCATACAAATTGTAAAATTTTTGTTCTAATTCTGTGAAAAATGCCATTGGTAACTTAATAGTGATTGCATTGAATCTGTAGATTGCTTTGGGTAGTATAGTCATTTTCACAATATTGATTATTTCCATTTGAGAACATGATATTTCTCTCCATCTGTTTGTGTCATCTTTGATTTCTTTCATCACTATCTTATAGTTTTCTACATACAGGTTTTTTGCATCCTTACAGCCTTGATTCTGATTAGAACAGTTATGGAGGCAGCCAGAGAGAGGGTGGGGATTGGTACTTTGTAAAAGCAAATTCAATAGCCATGTGATTTCAGTTTAAAAAGAGAGAAAAATAAAACTGGACAAAAACCTTCACTGGTAGTGAAGCATGTAAGTTAGGCCAGGACAGTGTGATGAGGGCCCTGGGTCCTGGGGAGGCAGTGCCCCATATGAACTGGCCCAGGGTAGCCAGAGGCAGCAGCCATTCTGGGTAGCGTGCGGCCAGGTTTTGACCCTACAGTGGGGCTCCTTCTCTGTCACTGGCCTCTTCTACTGTTCATTTGAGCTTGAAACTTGAATAACTGGATGGAGAGAAGTTAGCAAGCCAGCTTTACCTTTGCCTCTTTACCTCTTCATCCTTGGAGCGGATCAACGGTCACTAATGTTGCCAGCTCCAAGTCACTGCGTCTGCGGAGGGCAGTTCGGCCACGGGTAGACTTCAGGCCAGGTGCTGTTGCGTGACACTGAACGCTGCACCGAGACGCCCACCCCTCCCGTGTGGCCCTGTGTTTCAGGGTATGAATTACCTGGAAGACCGGCGCTTGGTGCACAGGGACCTGGCAGCCAGGAACGTGCTGGTGAAGACGCCGCAGCATGTGAAGATCACAGACTTTGGGCTGGCCAAGCTGCTGGGTGCCGAGGAGAAAGAGTATCACGCAGAAGGAGGCAAGGTGAGGGGCTGGCTTGTAGACAGGCACGCACTCCCCTGAAGCAGACTGAGCAACTCAGGGCCGTTCTCAGGACCTTCTGGGTGAGGTCACAGTGCCACCAGCACTGGGTCTAGCCAGGCTCCAGAGCTGCCTGGGGAGAAGGATTTCCTGGGAAAGTGAATGGAGATGTTTCTGACACACCCAGAACCCAGAGGCAGTAAATGTGAGTTCACCTTCATCTCTAGGGGACTATTAGCCAAAATTAGGTTTCCACCTCCTGCTCCAGGGTAAACCCTTCAGAAGAACATCTGGAAATGTCATAGCTGATTTGGCAGCCAGGAAAGTTTCCTGTGATTGTTCCAGGACCTCCCGAGGGGCGCTGGCCATGATGGAGTTGGCTTCTCCAGGGGGCTTTCCCAGCAGTGAGGGATGCAGGTCTCCAGATACGCCCTTCAGAACACTCTAGATCAGCTGTACATCTCTTCAGTTTCACACTGGCTGGCGTGACTCCAAGCAGCTGGCCCTGCAAGCCACCACAAACACAGCACGACCAGGGTCCCCGCTCCCAGCCCAGGCACCCAGCTCAGCAGAGGAGCCCACACACAGACCAGAGGCCCTCCTCTGTCCTGGGGTCTGACAGAGACCCTGTCCTCTGCCAGACAAACCTCTCCTCCTGCTGGGAAGGAGCCCTGGGCCTGGGGGGCAGGCTGCAGGTGGCCTGGTTTTCTCACCTTTGTCATTTGCAATTTCTCCCTTTGTCATTTTTTTTTCAATAGAAGGAAGCTAATAGTTGTCTTATTACTTTTATCTCTCATCATTCCAAGGTCCCTATCAAATGGATGGCTTTGGAATCAATTTTACACCGAATTTATACCCATCAGAGTGATGTCTGGAGCTACGGTGAGTCAGAATCCTGAGGCTGGTGAATCAAGGCCGAGACTGCTGGCTTGCGCTGTTGATGTGCATTATACACGCTGCCATGCGAGACAGTGACTAACAATCGCGTCATCATTGTTGTCAAGGCTGTTAAAACTGAAAACATGAAAAGGGAAATTGAGTCTAACTACCATCCTAAGCGTCACTGGAGGTAACACTGAGCTTGTCAGGAGAGAGGAGCAAGAGGGAAAGAAGGTGAACCTGGGAAATGACTGTACCCAGTCAAGCAGGTTCAACCTCTTGCTGTGAATTTGAAGTGCACCAAAGGGAGATGACATCAGGTTTCGTGTGAAGTGTTTCCGGTAGAGAGTGTGGTTCTATAGTGGACTAACTCGGTGGCTGCGGTTCCGTGTACTGAGTGGTTATCTTTGTGTATCAGAGAGAATGGCTTGACAAAACGCACTGTGAGAGTGTGTCTTTGGGGGAAATATGAGGAAAGGGAAGTAGCTGCTGCTTCCAGCTCTCGTGAAGGCTTGTCTCACCAGGATCTGCTTCTTTCTTCCTCCAAATCCCACGTGGCCTGCGGGCCACGTCCTCTGCCCAGCTTCCCTCTCCTCAGACACGCCTTTCATGCTCTTATCTTGTTCTCTGTCAGAGGGGCTCCTGGGCCTTCAAGGGCCTCACCTTTCAGGAAAGCATTCCCACTGGTTGCTGTGCTGGGTGCTTCCCCCTGTTACTGCAGTCAGCAGCCCCGTACTGCCAAGTCAGCCCAAAGGCAGCAAAACAGCTGGTCTGCACTGAATGGTGAACATCAGTCTATCCCGGCTATCAAAGCAGTAGAGGTGAATCACCCACCCATAGCACATGTACTTGAGGAGAGCAATGTTATAAGGAGTTCCCAACAGGAATGCTTTCATTATCACAAAAACAGAATCATTCAGGATATCTCCCTGATATCTGATTAGCATTTCTCCCTGATTAGCATTTCTTTCACAACGTTATTAGCTTCCTAATATTCCGATTAAATTTTTAAGAATTTCATGGGTCTTTGTCTCTCTCTCTCTGGCTATAATATAAGCTTTATGAAGACAGAAGTCTTTGTGAATGAATATGTGAGTTTTCATTTATACCTGTGAGCCGAGCTGCTTACAATTGATGAACTAGATAAGGAAATAAAGCTATTCTGATACCTTGTTACTTTCAGCCATGTTCAAGAAGTGTGTGCTCCCCTGGAGGGACAGGAAGAAATGCTGCTTTTCCTGTTTGTGGCTCTGCCCAGACCTGTCATCATCATTGTCGCCACACAGCCCTGTTCCAGCGACAGTACACAGGGGCTCCTCCTGGGTCTTCTCTGGGCTTGTTTTGCGCTCACTCATCTATTCTCCAGCAGCTAGCAAAAATATTTTAAACTACATTAGACTTTTACTTCTCTGCTTAACCTCCTTCTTTCATTTTCCAAATATGTTCCACATAAAACCTGAGGCCCTGACCGCGGTCAAGTGGTATGGGCCCCTGCCTTTCCCAGCTGCCCGGCTGTGTTCTCCCCATGCCCCATGTGCCCACTTGCAGACTGCAGGGCCACATCTGCCCAGTAAATGAAAACTCTCAAACGCAGTGACTTAATCCCTTTGAGTGGTTGTAACCAGCATCAGAATGTCAGCATCAGCCCAGGGGCTGTGTTTTTCATCTCAGTGGAAATTGTGCTGTCAGTGATTACAATCTGCTGTTCTGGCAGTACATCAGAATTGTTACAATATGAACCTGAATTTTTAGTTTAAAAAACACGTCCTGTTACTCTGCTCTCTAGACTCTAGTCAAGGCCAAATATTTTAGTCAGGAACCTGGATGTTCCACTTACCAGTTGAAAAGGGAGAGAATTCATACCAACTTCCAACCCTACTCACACCCCACAGCCAGGCATACACACGGTCTTCTTTCACCATTTGTCCCAAAACCTGAAAAACTTGCCTTCCTTTAGGAAGTTATTGTATATGTGTTTAAATGCAATGTTTAAACCTAGTTAGAATTAACTGACTATAGACCTGGACATGAGATTTTCTTTTTTTGATCAAGTCCATAATGACTCTGTGGTGGGAAGGACAGAAGGATTATTAATATTTTCTTGTCCCTGGACCACTGCTTTTCTTCATTCTTCAACCTTGCATTCTGCATGTTAATTCAGGTCATTCAGTTTTGGAATGGCCTTTGGAAAATCCACCTTGCAGATCCATGGTGATATGCATTTAGAGGTCCATTCTAAAGAGAAGGGGTCGTTAGCCTAGTTGGAGATTAGGAACCACCCCCGGCACTGGCTTTCTGTGTCTGGTCCCTCCCTGTGTGGTCTGGGGACTCCAGACTCAGGCCCACTTGGCTCATCACTAGTGGCACCCAGGGCATCGTGCTGTCAGCTGGGGACATACCGCTCATCACATCTGTGTGTTTCTGGAGCAGAGAATGCCATCAAGGGAGGCATGGAGGCGGAAGACCATCAGAACGTCAGAACAGCCTGAAAAAACACCAATTCTAATAGTACTCTTGCTTTAATGTTTTTAATCATGGTGATTGATTGATGTTGAAATTTAAAATATGGAGTTTTTATATTTATCTAAAGGAACACAGAAGTTTTTATCTCCAATTTTTTTATTCTTTAAAAACACAATTTATAGTTGGTTAAGTCTCTTGGGCCGCACGTCTGACTGTGTAACTCCTGCTCCATAGACCAGGCATGTCTCAGAGAGGTGGTGTCTTTGCTGTTATTACTAAACTTTGCTCTTTATTGGCTATTTACTGTTTGCCTGGCATTGTCTGAACATTGAAGTTGTGTTATCTTGTTTGATCGCACAACCCTTCTATGAGACAGACGATGAACTGAGGCTTCCAGCATCGAGTAAATTGCCCAAGGCCACCAACACAGGGGTTTTTAAACATTGGAAACAGTATGTCAACAATGATGACTAAAGACAAGATGCTGTGATTATTATTGACTCATAAAGCAACCGCTTCTTCCTAATAGGAGTCACTGTTTGGGAGTTGATGACCTTTGGATCCAAGCCTTACGATGGAATCCCTGCAAGTGAGATCTCAACTGTCCTGGAGAAAGGAGAGCGCCTCCCGCAGCCACCCATCTGCACCATCGACGTCTACATGATCATGGTCAAGTGTGAGTGGCCAGCTGGGTCTGTCGCTGGGCTGCCCTGAGCCACATCCCCAGGTCTTAGACTCCCTCAGACACTCTGTCACAGCCTATAGGCAGGCACATTCGTCAACCCCCTCTCAGGGCACTGCACCAGAAGCACTTACCTGCTACACTGAGCACTGTGAGCTAATGTCACACTGAGCATTGTGAGCTGATGTTTTTAAGCAAACAAGTAAAGTCAAAATCCCCCAGAAGCTGTTATACCAACACTCTTCTCTCTAAGTTGCTCAGTGAAAAACCTGCCCCACATTTTGAAGCCTGTTACCAGAGAGACTGTTTTTAAATGCCTAACAGTGACTAGCCACATGAGATTAGTAGAATCAACACTTCTGCTTTGCCTTAAACCTTTCAGATAGTGGGTTTATGTGAGGCCTTCTGCAGTGTAAGAGGTAAACCTTGTAATCCAAGTAAGAGTGTATGCCTTGATTGTGACACTACTATGCTGTCAGGATCCCAAGTTCCGTAGGCTCTGGGGGTAATATTACATGCATGATGAGAATTTAGGCAGAAAGCTGCCCAGGGAATGTGAGAGAGCGAAATCCCTGTCAGTATTGAGCCTTTCTGAACTTTAGACCACAGAGCTAATCAATTGTGACTTCCCCTGCTTTAGGTTGAGGAAGCTGATATCCAGGGAGGTCACATGATTTCTCTGAGGTCACATAGCAGCCTGGCCTAAAATAGCTTGACATCCTGCTGATAGAAAATAAATATGAACTCTCAGGGTCATGAGGATTTCTAGTTCCTCCAGCATGTTTAATCTAGACCTGGATCATTGTGTCATCAGATGCAGTGGCTTGGTCAACAGGAGTATCCTCCACGCAAAGGCATTGAGCATCCTATCACACGCATGTCTGATTGCTGAGTGTGATGCAATGAAATGCAAGGGAATGGCATTCCCAAGCCCTGAGGTTCTTAAGAAAGTTCCTAAATTTCCGTAAATCTGGTTTCCAATTTACTAGACTGCTGAGTGAATGTGGATGAGGCTGAATGGCAAGTGAGGACTTTACGGAGAGTCGAGACCCAGGGCTCCCTACAGTCAGAGCAGTTCACAGAAAGTGAAGCCTGTCATACGGCTGCTGGGTCACTCAAGATGATGACACTGTAATGACCCTTGGAAGGGGAGGTGCAGGAAATCAGAGCATGTCATTGCCATTCTGACTCAAATATGTGAGGTCATCATGGTCTTTAAACAGTAATCAGTGCCTGCTTGCCAAGACTGAAAAACCTGTCACAAAGATTAGGTTTCATCCTCATTTATTTGTCTTAAAGAGTCCCCCCATAAACACTTTCAGCGATGCCATCTTTATCAGTTCTTTCAGGGTTCTAACTGAACTGACTTCCCTCCTCCCTTCCCCAGGCTGGATGATAGATGCAGACAGTCGCCCAAAGTTCCGTGAGTTGATCCTTGAATTCTCCAAGATGGCCCGAGACCCCCAGCGCTACCTTGTCATCCAGGTACAGTCCACTCCCCGTCTCCTCCCCAGGAGGGTCCTGCTAGTGAGGTCACACATCCCTGAAATACCTCGGGGACGCAGCTCCCTGTCTCCCAGGCCACACCAGAAACCCTCAGGCATTAGAGCAAGCACAGGCCAAGGTGGACTAAGTCAGGCTCACCATGGGGCCCCCAAGTGTCTGCCACTGTGTGAGCCCTGCACACTTGCGCCCCCCTCATCTTCATGGTCCCTTTAGCCAAAGCTTCATATCGGTCTCTGGGGAACCAGGGCTTTGGTGTGAGGCAAATCTGGCTTCAGATTCTTGACTCTCCACTTTAGGTTAACAAAACCAAGCTCATGGAACTGTTTTAAAGATTCAGTGAAATAATAAATGCAGAATGCATTGCAAAGCACCTGAAGCAGTTCCAGAATGTGTGTGTTTTGGGGGGAGGGTCCCCACACCCCCAGGCAAGCACTTCTCCAGCACCAGCCGTGTCCTGCAGTTCGGCTCAGTCTGACACTGTCCACCTGCGGACAGCATCAGAGGCCACACTCCTCCATGTCAGATGCTAGCCCCCAGTCCAGGTGCTTCTGACCTACCAGCTAAAGACTGGAGGTTCTCACTCCCCTCTCCTTGGGTTCCATTTGTTTGCTAGAGCAGCTCACAGAACTCAAGGAAACATTCCACTCACTAGCTCGCTGGTTGATTATAAATGTATGTAGTGCAGGATCAGCCAGATGGGAGAGATGCAGAGGGGAGGGGGGAAGGGCAGAGAGGAGGGGGGAAGGGCACAGGGGAGGGGGGAAGGGCACGGGGAAGGGGAAAGGCAGAGGGGAGGGGGAAGGGCAGATGGGAGGGGGGAAGGGCAGAGGGGAGGGGGAAGGGCAGAGGGGAGGGGGGAAGGGCAGAGGGGAGGGGGAAGGGCAGAGGGGGGGGGAAGGGCAGAGAGGAGGGGGGAAGGGCACAGGGGAGGGGGGAAGGGCACGGGGAAGGGGAAAGGCAGAGGGGAGGGGGAAGGGCAGATGGGAGGGGGGAAGGGCAGAGGGGAGGGGGAAGGGCAGAGGGGAGGGGGGAAGGGCAGAGGGGAGGGGGAAGGGCAGAGGGGGGGGAAGGGCAGAGGGGAGGGGGAGGGGCAGAAGGGAGGGGGGAAGGGCACAGGGGAGGGGGGAAGGGCACGGGGAAGGGGAAAGGCAGAGGGGAGGGGGAAGGGCAGAGGGGAGGGGGAAGGGCACGGTTTCCATGCTCTCTGCTGCACTGCTCTTCCCCAGGCCTCCACGTGCTCACCACCCAGGAAAGACTCTGAGCTCATCCTTTCAGGTTTCTATGGAGACTTCATTACATGGGCGTGATGAAATCATTGACCCCCAGTAGATTTGACCAGGCCCTCTGCCCTCCCTGGAGCCTAGGGGCGGGACTGAAAGTTCTAACCCTCACATGGGATTCTAATCATGTGGCTCTACTGGGCACCAGCCCCCATCTTTCAGTGCTTCCAAAAATCTCCTCATTAACATAAGAGACACTGAGGAAATTCCAAGGGTTTAGGAGCTCTGCAATGCGGAAGACCTGGGTCCCATCCCTGGTTTGGGAAGATCCCCTGGAGAAGTGAACGGCTACCCCCTGCAGTATCCTTGCCTAGAGAATTCCATGGACAGAGGAGCCTGCCAGGCTACAGTCCATGGGGTCACAAAGAGTCTAACATAATTGAGTGACACTCACTTTGAGGAGCTCTGTGCCAGGAGCAGGGACGAAGAACAAAAGTGCATTTTTTACTGCACATAGCACAGCACGCAGTGAAGGCTGTGCCTCCCGCACCTCCTTTTACCTCCTGAGCTGTCTGCATTTCCTTTGAGGACTTTGGGACATCAGGGAATTTTCAGGGTTTCATTTCAGGCAGGGGGTGGGGGAATGGGGGAAGGGAGGAGGAAGTGTATTTTGGAGAACCAGCAGGGGAAGGGGGCGGGTTATTAGAGCTAAACTGGCAAATATACAGGCAACCTGCTGACCACAGACCACACCTCGATAGCAAGGGAGTGGGACAACAGTTCTCTGGCCTTTCTAATGGTCTCACGATCTCTGTGCCAGGGGGATGAGAGAATGCATTTGCCAAGCCCTACGGACTCCAACTTTTACCGCGCCCTGATGGATGAGGAGGACATGGAGGACGTTGTGGATGCTGAGGAGTACCTCATCCCCCAGCAGGGCTTCTTCCACAGCCCCGCCACCTCCCGGACACCCCTCCTCAGCTCCCTGGTACCAAAGTCACTGTTTCTCATGCTCTGCCTCTTGGTTAAAACAGATTGAGTTTTAGAGAAAATAATACCCATCTTGTGGAACTTAACCAGACGGTGAAGCTAAAATCAGAATGAATCAATTCAGTGTATCAGTTATTTTATTGCATTGCAACAACTGGGTCATAATCTTTCTGGTCCATTAAGGAACAGAGTTAAATCAGAACTAAACCTAGTTTTTCTCATGCTAATGCGTCAAGCACTATGAAATTAATGAAATCAAGCCCCTTTAAATGTCCCTTCTCCCTGAGGCCCCTTCCTGCTCTCCGTGGAGATGGTTGAGTGTCCGCCTGCATCATAAATACTGTGATTCTTTTTCAGAGCGCCTCCAGCAACACTCCCACTGTGACTTGCGTTGATAGAAATGGGGTAGGTATCAACATCTACAAACCAGAATTAAATAACAGCTCTGTACCCCAGCTCTATTAGACATAAGAAGTGCCCACCTTAACCCGAATAATTGTGATTTCCTTTGTGTATTGTTTCCTCCCTTGATCCCTACTCTTTGGCCAGCAATTAGCTATTATTTCTCAAAGTGCTATTGCAAATGTGATTCATGGGCCAGCAGCACCATGCAGTTCTTGGACTTGGCAGTTTGTTAGAAATGCAGACTGTCGGGCCACCACCCCGGACCTGCTGACGCAGGATCTGCTGGGAGGGGTCTGGCCATCTGTGAGCTCGCCTTCCAGGCGATGCTGATGCTTGATGTGTGAAGCCTTGACTAGACCCACACTTACCAATGCAGAAGCCACTAGCCATGTGTGGCTACTTAAATTTAAATTTTAATTAATTAAAGTTAAATAAAATTTAAAATTCCATTCCTCACACATGTGGTAAGGAGCTACCGTATGGAAGAGCGCAGATTACAGAGCACATCTGTCACTGCCAAGAGCCCTGATGGACAGCCCTGGTCCAGGCCATCCACTTGCCCTGTGGTTTGGGCCGGGAGTGAGGTACCACCTGTGGGCAAAGTGGTTAGAAGTGCAGCATCTCTGGTCCTCCCCGGATCTCCTGCATCAGAATCTGCATTTTAGCAAGCTCTCAGGTGACCTCTATCCCCGTGGAAGTGAACAGCACTGGCTGGAGTTAACCTTGCCTCATCTCCTCCCGACAGAGCTACCCTCTCAAGGAAGATAGCTTCCTGCAACGCTACAGCTCAGACCCCACTGGTGCCCTCACGGAGGACAGCATGGAAGACGCTTTCCTCCCGGCACCCGGTGAGTCCTCTCGCCGGGGCAGTTCTGTTCCATGGCCTCAGGCCCGGGGCGGGGCCAGCTGCTTCCTGCAAGCTGGTGCAGAGGTGAAGCCCACAGTGAGAGTGTAGCCAAAACGAAGGGAGAAAGAGGGCAGGCGATAGACAACGACCAAGTATGCACATGGGTATCTGAGGGGTCCAGGCATGTCCAGGTTGTCTTTAGAAGGAGTCTGCAGATTTTCTAGAATTTGAAGCCAACAGTAAAGGTATACATATGTGAGCGCTTGAGAGATTGAGTGTGTGTGTGAGAAATATGAGAGAGAGAGAGTGTGTGTGTGTGTGTGTGAGAGAGAGAGACAGAATAGATCACTGTTCTCTCTCCTGGCTCCATTTCTGGCCTGTGAAGCATGTATTTACTTAATCTAAGCTCTGTCCCCAGACAGAGCCATCCTGCACAAACACACATCTAAAGGGAAGCAGTCCTCTGAAAACTTGATTTAAACTTCCAAAAGAAAAGCATGCTCGTTGCTCTAAGCAGCACGAAAAGAACACAATGCATTTTAGCAAGAGAGTCCTCTCCCCAGGCTTCCCGGCCTCTGTCACCCAGTGCCACATTGAAGAATAGTCACAGGGTTCAGAAAGAGCTGTGAAATCCTGTTGGGGATGACGCTTTGCTGATTACACTTGCTTTCTTTTCAATTTCAGAATATGTAAACCAGTCTGTTCCCAAAAGACCCGCAGGCTCTGTCCAGAACCCTGTCTATCACAATCAGCCTCTATATCCAGCTCCTGGCAGAGACCCTCAGTACCAAAATTCACGCAGCAACGCCGTGGACAACCCTGAGTATCTCAACACCACCCACCCTGCCTATGTCAGTGGTGTGCTCGACGGCCCTGCCCTCTGGGCTCAGAAGGGCAGTTACCAAATTAGCCTAGACAACCCTGACTACCAGCAGGCCTTCTTCCCCAAGGAAGCCAAGTCGAATGGCATCTTTAAGGGGCCTGCAGCTGAAAATGCAGAATACCTGCGGGCAGCACCAGCAGGCAGTGACTTTACTGGGGCCTGACCATGGAGGACAACATCAGCCATAAACTTCCAGCCCCTTCAGCCCCCGGGACCAAGCCATGGCAGCTGTTGAGTCCTGACCACCATGCCGACATTAACTCTTGGACCCATGGACTGGTTTGTCCATATTTGCCCTGATCAGCCCACCTTTCAACCAAGAAGTGCCCCCGGCCTCAGATGCGCTTTGCAAAGTTGCAGGGACTTTCCTTTGTCTTCAAACTGTGAGGCTTCCACAGAAGGCATCCAGAAACAATGTTGTCCGTTTGGGCAGAAGTTCACCTTCCAGTGAGGTATATTTGAAAAATACTAAATATGTGTAAGGAGTTTTATTGCTTAGGAACATCTGGGGTTTTTTCATTGACACTGATTTTACTCTTAATGAGCTTTTCTAATAAGGAAAAAGCTTGCTCGTAGCACCTGTGGTACTGAGTTGACCCAGGCCCAACTGTGACTGAGACACATGGGCCAACCTTCCAGCCAGCACTTGATTCCATCGGCTCTGCTTGGGGACTCCTCCATTGCAAGACAGTTGAATAACCAGCCAGTCCTCTGGGTCCTCAGCAGGCCACATTGGTACTATATCAGATCAAGGCAGGTACAAGATAATAAGCCACTTTGAACTCTTCCTGAGCAAGGAAGAAACAGAGGGAGGAGAATTCTTCCTCAGACTTTCTTTTATATAGATGTCTCCACGGTACTCTCTCTCCTTTGGGTGACCAGTGTTTTCTAATTATAAGTATTAGACTTGTTTATTTTTCCATTCCATAGTTTTGAAACCCAGTATGTTTTCCCAATACAGCAAAACAGTAACCATGGTCAGCGTATATGTGATTCATTGGCATTCAGACCATTGCCTTTAATTGAGATGGAATGACAGCACAAAAAAGGAACAAATCCCCCAAATTTGAGTCTTAGAGGAAATATATCAAGTCTTTGGAGGTCGGGGGACACGTGTCTGTCTGAAGACTGCATATGTGATGCTGCTCTTGAAACTCTCTTAGCTCCCCCAACGCTCCCCCCGACACACACACACACAAAAATTTGTTTGGGCTACTCCTAGAAGACAATTATTTTACTTCAAGGGTTTTTTACTCAAAAGGAACTTTGCTCCTCACCGGGAGGCTGCCCAGATCCCTCCTTGCCCTTGGTGAGTTGTAGGGTCCGGGCGCGGGGGTGTGCAGGGGTGCCTCACCACAATGGCACTCTCCACAGTTGAATAGAGACTGCATCATGTGTCACATGGAAATCAGGTAAATACGAAATTTGACTTTGAAGTTGATGATAACGCCTTCATAACATCTCCAGGTGCGTGGGCAGAAGAAAACAATTCCCTCTTAAAATAGCTGCCCGTAATTGGAGGACCCTCTACTTAGGACACAAGCTTTTTCTCATCTGTGATTTCCCATCAGATCCGTGTTTCTGACCCCAAACCCTGGATGTTACATAGCTCTTTGGAGACAGTGTTGTAAACACTCTTAGTCAGCATCCATCTCAGCCAGGAAGAAGTGTTTCAGACAGTATTTTCAGTCCATGGTTTTATTCAGCTCCCCACTTCCCCCACACACACAATTTTCCTTTAGCTTTTAAATTATTTACTGACTCAGGTGGATCAGGGCCCTGCAGTTTTGCTATCAAAGTATTTAATTTTGTCTCAATAGAAATATAAACTATATTCAGTTCCATCATGTTGCACACTTTAACACCTTACCAGCCTGGCATAGGTATTAAAGATAAAAAATAAATCGTAGTACCTGATTCCACAAAATTCACAATTTAGCGACGAAAATTGAGTCACAAATACTAGCCTGAAAATGACATGACAGATGCCAGGCCAGACTGGTCAGCCCAGCACGGCGACAGCACAGGGTGCCTGGGGTGGAGGGACATGGAGTCGGGTCGGAGGACCTCTGGGGCATCAGCCAGCAAGGATTGGAAAGTGCAGCAGAGGGAGCCCAGCCCTGAACGTGTCCCCCAGAGAAGCCTCTCCTCGGCAGCTCCACAGGCGCCGCCGCCCCTTCAAGCCTGGCGTTAGGCTTGGCACGTTCCCCAAGTGCCCTTCCGGTCCACCCCCACTGGGGGTTTAAAAATGATTCGTGAAAAGATTAAACAACGTCTCTAAGAATCTGAAATTTTATGTCCTTGTCAGCAAACCACTCTCATTATTTATTCACCTCAGAGCATAGTGCTTTAGCCAGATACGCATCCAGCACTGAGAGACAGGATGACCCACATTCTGCTGTCACTAGTTTGTCAGGAGACAGATGATGAGGGAGCCCCACAACATCCTGGTCAATTGCAGCAGTAAGAGCTTAGTATTTTTGTAATTTGAAACATTTTACTGTCACATAATAAAGTAGAACTATTCAAGATTTTTCTTCTTTGTATTTCAATGTCCTGGCATAAAATCTACTCACTAAATTTTCTTAAACATTGTGTTTCCACCAGTTTACTCACTAAATTTTCTTAAACATTGTGTTTCCACCAGTTTTCTCACTGTGTCTGTCCAGGGAGGTTCCCAGGGTCTGTAGACTCTCGAGAGCCTAAGAGGGCACAGCCTGAGTCCAGTTCCAGGGCCCCCTGGACAGTCAGGAGAGGAGCTCTCACACCTCGGGGCTCTGAGGGGCCACACAAAGCTTCACCCTCACCCCTTGGGTTTCTGCTCATGGACACCAAGCCCTTAGGCCCCACAGGGAGCCTGTCTGCTGTTTTCCTCCCCAGCCAGTCCCTGGAGCATTTCCCCACAGCCCAGTCAAGCCAGGCCTTCAGAAACAGGTCAGGGAAGGTAAGAGTGAGAGGCTGTTCACAGCTGACCCTTGAACCTCATGAGTTTGAACGGTGTGGGTCCACTTAGACACAGATTTCTTCAATAGCAGACACAACAGGCCACATGAGCACCAGTCAGCCGAATTCACGATTATAAAGAACCAGAAGCTCCGGAGAATCAACTGTGTACAGTTGCAGGCGAGTCCACTGCTCAGAGGGTCAGGGCCCCGACCTGGGCTGTTCTAGAGTCAGCTGTCCAGTGGGCCGTACATACATCTTATCACATAATCTTTAAGGAGGCTCTCTTGTCTCACACTATGAAAAATAGTTCTGTCACCTCAAGATAGAGATGAATCTTCCAAACTCTAACTTTGCCCAGAGTTCAGGTTGTCACTGATTTACAACTACGAGCACAGTGGAGGGTGCAGAGTACACTCCAGTTGATGGCAAGGCTTAGAGGTTTGTTGAAAGTTCTTAATTTTGAGCCTTAGCCTTCCCCTGTCAAAACTGCAGAGATGCATGAACCATGAAGGGCTGAAGCAGACAGGCAGTGGTTCTCAGGCTGACTGCCCTTGGGTGTCTCCTGGGTCCCAACCAAAAAGACTCTGAATTTGTCTCAGCTGCAGCCTGGGCCGGGCGCTTCTCAGAACTCCCCTGGTGATTCTGATGGGCACCAAAATTTGGGCAACAGCTGTGTAAAGAAAATGGCCTTCAGGGAGACCCGGGCCTGGGCTGACGGCCTCCCCGTCGTGGCGCGCTAGGCGAGGTCTGAGGCTGCAGGACGGGCTGTCAGGCTGTAAGTGACTCACCCTCCTCACCTGCACTGCCCATCAGGACTGACTGTAAGCTCGAAAGGACCAGTTTAATCTAATTCCAGGGGCTCCCCATGTGGTTCTAATGGACACCCAGAGTGGAAACCCTCATCTCAGGTCACCTTCCCTTGTACTAGCTTATGCATCAACACTGTGCCCCCCATCAGGGCAGAATCAGACGATGTGTGTGGAAGAGGTTCCCAAGGCAGCACCAGAATGACTGGTGTGCCTGGAGCCTCAGCTGCTGCTGGCCATTCCAAAGCCCCAAATTCCTTGTCACCAGCAGCTAACTCACCTCAAAAGTGGCAGATACCCCAAATCTGAGCCTTGAGAAAGCCCTAGACGGTTTCTTTTCTAAGAAGTTGGTTTAAAAATCCCATCTCCTGCTACAGGGAGTGAGCTGTTCACCTCAGTGACGGTTCTTGAAGTTGCCCTTAATGTCTGTTCTGCATTTATTACTTGGTGACAAGCACATTATTGCAATGTAATGATCTTTGTTTTCCTTGCTGAGGCTGTAAAACATTACTGAATAGAGTCTCTTGCCTCTAGTCATATCAGCCACATCAGGGGCACACATTTTTGTGCTATAAAAGACACATTCCAACAGGATTTTTAGATGTAAGTCTATTTTTGTAACTTTTTAGAGCACTGAGCTTTGTAAGGTATATTTTTAGGAAAACTCATTTTTCTACTAAAGGAAATAGTTTACTTCAGAAAGACTACAAGAAAATCAAAATTTCAAACCGAGATTGTTGTTTAAACAATTTTAACATTAACAGTTATAATTGTTGTTTAAAGGGATTTAACTGAAGCAAGAGAAAAGTCTCTCTCGTAAAAAGGCACAATGTCATTGCAGAACTGGCCTACGTTGTTGTCCTGATGAAGAGGAGAGTCATTTCTATATTTATAAAATGAGAAAAGGATGAAATTACATTTAGTTTCTTTGTCTGAATCAGGTTCATTTGACTCTGGGGCAATTCAGTGGGAAAGAACCACTGTCTATTACAACTAATAGACAACATCAGCTTCATGCTGTACACCACTCATCTGCCGATGGGACTCTGCAAATGTAAGAAAAACAATAACAGAGCTCTCTTGGTTTATGTGTACCAATCTGACTGATATAGATTATTTTTGTGTTTACAATTGATACACATTTACAAGATAGACCAGAAATACCCGCAGAGCCCTAATGTTTAGCATGTTTGATGAACACCACCAGCAGTCTTCCAAACTAAGCATAGCCATCCTAGCGATGGGGTTTTTATCTCAGGCTGCATAATGACATCATGGTGGTGGGGGAAGGGGAGCTTTTGAAAATCTTGAGGCCCAACAGTGCCTCAGGCCAGTGAAACCCAGGATTTATACTTTGTAAAGCTCCTAAAATCATTCTGATGTACAGCCAAAGCTGAGAACCACCAGCCTA